GCGCCATTCCGGAGAGGAATAAAACGCCAGTCGGTGCACAGCAACACTGTCCAATCACGGATTAAGGATACTCTGGGAAGTATTTTGATGTTGATTTCTTTGTCTTGTGATTTGCCTATCGCTAAAATGTACTCATAGGGATTTTTGTGATTGTTAACCTTTCAATGAGCCAGATAATCTCCAAATAATGCAAATAAGGCCTTTTACTCGGTGAGACCATAATTGTGGGTGAGTAAAATTCAGAGGAAAAAAATGAGTGTGATGGACTTGATGATGACTTGTTTAAATAAAAAACATAATTCTATTGCAATCTCTAGCTGTGCGTCGTTCAAACAGTATGTCTAGATTTAGCACCGCTGACCACAACAAGGCGCTCGTATCGGCCCTCTTATCTGGAATCAGGAATGTGACAGAGACGCTGCTAGAAGCTTCAGTTGAAACTCCAGCAGACCTTCAAGACTGGCTGAACGGAAAAGAACCACTGTCGATGTTGTTGAGATGAGAGAATATGAAGTAATCAACCAGGTGTAACTACCCACCAATGAGACACAGCTGCAGGGGTTCATGGAAGGTGGGATGTTGTGTAGCCAAACACTACTGCCAATCAACGCCAATTTTAGAAAATATTGTGAACGTTTAAGATTAAACCGGCTATTTATCTAAGTGTTTCAATTTAAAATGTTGTCAGTATATAATTATTTGTGCTCGATTTTAATTTTAAACAACCCTCCTTGGGTGTGTGCACGGGATCCATACAATGAGTGCTTTACAGTAACCCAGCCTACAAGTAATTGCTCATTTTGAGACAATAACGAATTAATATATTAAATAATCAACCCAGTCGTAACCCCCTTCATACTCTATGCAGACCAAGGCTTGGAATCAGTAGAAGGAGAGTGTAGACAACATGACATAAAAGCAATCCATTTTGCAAGTATGAAATTGTTCTTTTTCTTAATAAACTCAATTATAAACTTTGTCCCCCTCCGCCCCTCCCCCACCCCACCCGGCAAAAACAAACAGTACCTCATATTATTATATCTCTCGGTTCATTTGTAGCCCACATTTACGTGCATTTACATTTCCTACTATCGGTCAGCATGTGCGGTATTGGGTATGCGTGTATGTTATATGAGTAAAACAACAACAGCAAACAAAAAGAAAACTTAAGATAAAACTGAACTAAGCTTCAAACTCTATGGGAACAAAGGCGTTGCGAAGGACGCACAACGTGACAGCGCTGTTTTTTAATCCTCTCAAAAATGGCGACAAAGAGAGCTGAGTAGGCCCGCATAGCCATAGTGAGTTTACGTGGGTGACGTCACAGCTGCGAGCTCTAGTACAATAATTATAACCTCTTTGTTTATTTTTTTTATTTTTATTATCCTCTGTTGCTTAATCTGTGATACATGTACATGCATTGTTTGCACTGCACATGCTCAAGAAATATTTTGTGAAAATTCGAATTCTAAGTAAGTCGTAAAAAAAGCAAGACAAGATAATTGGAAGCCGTTATTTTCACCACATGTCGCGGAAATAAAGACTGCTCCACTGTGCATTTTTTCACGACTTGTTTGTACGTGTATTACCAATCAGTTAACAGCTGGACCATACTTCAAACTTTTTACTTCTCTCTCTCTCTCTCTCTCGCTCTCGCTCTCTCTCTC